GTCCAGTAACGGTTGAATAGAGCGAGTACCGTTGAGTCTGAGGGGGAAGTAGATTTGGCAGTCGTCTGCGTAGAAATGAAAAGGTATGTTATGTTTCCTGAAAATAGCACCTAGTGGCAGCAGGTATAAAGAAAATAAAAGAGGACCAAGGATGGACCCTTGCGGTACCCCCCAATTAAGCGCTGCCGAGGCTGAACTAAAATCTTTGATGGAGACACAAAAGGACCTGTCAGCGAGGTAAGATCTAAACCATTCGAGGGCTGACCCAGTGATGCCCACCCACTGCTCTAACCTCGCAATGAGGATCTTGTGGTCGATTGTATCAAAGGCAGATGTGAGGTCCAGTAAGAGAAGGAGCACAGAATCACCAGCGTCTGTGAATAGGAGAATGTCGTTAAAAACCTTGAGTAGAGCAGTTTCAGTGCTGTGGAGAGGTTTAAAGCCAGACTGGAATAGCTCTAAGATGGCATTATCCTCTAGAAAGCATTTCAGCTGGGACTCCACTATTTTTTCCAGCAGTTTAGCGACAAATGGGAGTCTGGAGACAGGCCGGAAGTTGGACATGACTGAGGGGTCAAGGCTAGGTTTTTTCAGGAGAGGTTGGACAGCAGCATGTTTAAAAGTTGTTGGCACCACACCTGAGGCTAAGCTGCTGTTCACAATGCCAAGAACAGGAGGGCCCAGAACAGGAAGAAGCTCCTTCAGGAGTCGAGGGGGGACAACGTCAAAAGGGGAGCCAGATGGCTTCATGCCGCACATGACCTGCTCCAGGAAAGACAGAGAGATGGGCTCGAAGTGGTCAAGAACAGCAACACAATGAGATGGGATGGACGGATCATGAGCAGGTGGAGAAATGAGTGCCCGGGTGTTTGCAACTTTTTCAGAAAAGAAATGGAGGAAGTTTTCACACAGCTCAGTTGAGGCTTCTAGAGGTGAAGGTTCACTGAGGTGTAGAACTGAGTTCAGGGTGGAAAAAAGGGCTTGGGGGTTGTGGGAGTTTGAGGCAATTATTGCAGAAAAGAACTTCGATTTGGCGGCTTTAACTGCCTTCTGATAATGACGCCAACTCTCCTTTAGGATTTGAAAAGAAACCTGCAGCCTGTCTTTCCTCCACCTGCGTTCAGCTCTCCTACACTGCTGTCTAACGGCTCGAGTGACGTCATTAAGCCATGGTTCTGATAAAAGTTTTGTTTTCCTGGTTTTAACGGGAGCAACACGGTCCAGAATATTTAAGAAAACGGAGTTAAGCTGAGAGGTTAGCTCCTCGGTGGAGAGAGACACTGAGAGCTGATCGATCCTCTCAGAGCTAAAAGCTTCAGTAAAACGTGCAACAGTGAAACGGTTAATGGCGCGTGAAGTACGTGCAGAATCACATGACTTAGCAGTAGGACAAGGCGGGATGATATCAAACAAGACAGGCATGTGGTCTGAGAGAACGTTGTCACCGATTACCAAATTACAAACAGAGACATCACATGTTAAAATGAGATCCAGAGTGTGACCGTGTTGTTGGGTGGGACCATTTACATGTTGAGTTAAATTAAATGAGTCCAACAAATCAAGGAAGTCCTTCACTAACGGCTTCTCCTGACAACAGACGTGAATATTAAAGTCACCAACGATAATAAAGTGATCATATCTTGGTGTGATGTAAGCCAGAAAATCAGAGAATTCACTTATGAAGTCCTTGGAACGAGGGGGGCGATAAACAATCGCACACAGAACGGGAGGAGAATGTCCGAGTCCAAAAGCACTCAGCTCAAAACTGGAGCAGGACATGAGGGTGGACAACTGTTTACAGGAAAAGTTTGATTTAAATACAGTTAATATTCCACCACCCCGCCGACCTGATGGCCGCGGGGCATTAAAACACAGACAGTCAGGAGGTAAAATTTCCACCAAGGCGCTTGAATCACCCAAAGGCAACCAGGATTCAGTGAGAAAAAGAAAATCTAGTCCCTCGTCTTTAAAAAAAGTCATTTAGAATAAAAGTCTTGTTGGCAACAGACCTTGTGTTGATGAGGCACGTCCTGATCTGGTCCGACACAGAACCAGCCATGGTGGGGGTGGTGCGTGTCAACATCGGGTAAATAAAACAGCCACTGGCCAAAAGGATGGCCCAGCACAGAAGATCAACATCATCAGGCCAGGACTCTGAGGTCTACACTCATCTCCAGGCCAGAGGTCACTCTTTCAAGGATGAAGATGTTCACATCCTGGACAGAGAGGAACGATGGTTTGAGAGAGGAGTAAAGGAGGCCATCTTTGTGAAAAGAAACCGTCCATCATTAAACAGGGGTGGAGCCTCCAGGTTCAACTGTCCCCCTCTTACAATGCTGTGATTGCTAGTATCACTCAGCCCTCTGTGAACAGTAAACAGCCATCAGGTGCTAATGATCCATTGTTAGGCTGATGGTCCTTCTTGAGCATGTGATCAGCTGGTTCTGGTTGTCAGCAGCAAACTGGTTGATCCACTCTAAGAAGGTGCTATTTAAGAGACTGAGCTGAACACAGCATCTCAGACTGAGGAAGTCCTCAGGATGAAAGATGAAACATTGCTACATTTTTTTGCTTTGTTTTGTTTTTTTGAATGTCCAGAGGACCAGATTGAACTTTTTTGGGTTCTCTTGTACCATATTTATTTAATTTTTCAAGGAGAATAGTGTGGTCAATAGTATCGAATGCTTTTTTTAAATCAACAAAAATACTAACACAATACTGTTTTTGATCGACAGCAGTAGTTATTTGTTCTAATTCCATGAGAGCCATTGATGTAGAGTTTTTTGCTCTAAACCCATACTGACTGCTACTTAGAATGTTTTGTTTAATAATAAATTTATCTAATCTGGTCACAAATAGTTTTTCTAGAATTTTTGAGAACTGTGGTAATAAGGATATTGGTCTATAATTATTGAACACACATTTATCACCATTTTTAAAGAGAGGAACTACCTTAGCTACTTTCATATTGTCTGGAAATATTCCTTTTGAAAATGATAAATTACAAATATATGTAAACGGCTCGATAACATAACTCATTATGTCCTTTACAAACATCATATCCATGTCCACCCAGTCTTTTGATCTCTTATCTGTAAGATTTTTTACTACA